GGTAAGTAATTGGTTGGGTTGGTTGATGGTAATTGTTCTTGCTTTTTCTCAGCAATTATTTGTTTAAGTTCAGAATGGGATAAAGAGGTTTTATTATTGCTTTTTAAATAATTAAATACTTGTTGTAATTCAGCTTTATTATTATTATATTCAACTACTAGTTTATTATTACTATCAAGAATAACATTTTTTATCTCATTTTGAATAAAAAATTGTTCTAATTGTTCCAAATCAGAAAGAGAAAAGGCCTTTTGCTCTTCATTAAACTCATAAACATTTTTATCTTTATTATTATCCTTTGGTGTTGGTAATTCCTGAGGAGTAGGAAGAGGTGTTTCTTCTTCACTTGGAGAATCACTATCTTTTTCTAAGGGAGAAACTCCTCTTTTTTTTGGATTAGATTTTCCTTCCTCATCTATATTAAACTTCCTTCTTAATTCATCCATGAACTCCCTTTCTTTTTGTAATCTTATTTCTTCATATTTTTGTTTTGCTAGTTCAACTAACTTTTCTTTTAACTCTTCAGATACTCCTTTAAACTCTTTCTTATCTAATTTGAGAATATCTTCAAGAGAGTAATCATTAGGATTAGCAAGTATTTTTATCACTCGACTAGTATTCCACTGTGCTAAGGCATCAATTTCTTCCATAAAAAAAACCTTTTCATCATTACCATCTTTATCTTTGACAACTTTTCTTTCTTCAATAAACACTTTTTCTATTTTTGGCATAGTTTTTCAATCAGGAACATTTTTAGCATCCTTATGGTAGACAAGATTTCTATGACTTTTTATGCTATCAGTATCAAACAGAGTAGGTAATAAAGATATTTTTTTTTTGTTGTCATGTATTACAAATTGCCTACTAAAATCCAAAAACTCCAAACTAGGACAATTTTTGATTTCAAGTCAATTAAGACCACATTCTTTAGTGGAAACAAAACTGAGTTTAGGTAAATTAATAAGATTTAATTCATTCAGACCATTATTTTCTGCACGATCCAAATTCTCTAGTGCTTCACAACCATCAACATTCAATGTTTTTAATAAATTGTCAAAATCAATAGAAGCATTAGTACAATAAAATCTTTTAAATTTTTTAGTCCACTGCAATCCAATTTTCTCAAATTGTTATGATAACAAAATAAGTTCTCTAATTCTGTTAAATGCTTTACTTCTAGTTCTTCAATTTGATTTTCATAGCAGTAAATATGCTTTAATTTTTTATTATTAGTCAAATTTAAACTACCTAAAACATTTAAACCAACATTTAAATACTCTAAATCAGCAAGATTAGTTAAATCAAGTCCAAGGCTGCTTAGATTATTGGAAGCCAAATTTAAAGTATGTATTTGCTCTGCCAATTCCAAAAATCCTAAGCCACAATGATTAGCATGTAATTCTTTTAATTCCTTACATCCACTAACATCTAAAAAATCAATTCCCTCTTCATTTTGATAATTATTCGAACAATCCAATATCCCAATTTATAACAATCACTAATATCTAAATTAGTTAATTCATTATCACTACAATCTAAACTTTTTAAGTTAGTGAATCCTTCTAAGTTTAATTCTCCTTGCAAACCTAAACTGCTAAGATCCAGTTTTCCACTTCATTTCTTTTGTCAAGAGGATATTTAGCATCTAACCAAATTTGAGCATCACCATCTACCCTACTTCTTTTTATTGTATCTTCTAATCCCAAATCATCTAACCTATTTTTCTCATCAGTAGTTAAAGGATTATCACTGTAAGAAATAGTTTGTAAGTTTTTGGCCTTTAATTCTTCAACTGGAAAGTCTCATTTAGTAAGTTGGTTATTGTGAGTATAAATTTCTTGAATACTTGGGCAGTTTTCAATAGTTAGTTTAGTAAGCTTATTATGAGCTACTTGCACCAGTTTTAAATCAGGCAATTGCAAATAATAATCTCTTCTAATTCATTATTACCTAAATTCAACTGTTTTAAATCAGGATAATCTTCAATTACTACTTTACCAGTATAGCCTTGTTTAATAGAACAAAGAGTTCTGATATTTTTTTTAACACTGGCTAAATTGTTAAAATCCTTTTCTTCTTGTTTAGCCTTTATTCTTAACCAATTATTTAGTCAATGAGGGTTTTCATATTCATTAGGGGTGTTCAAAGTTGTTCCGTTCCTGTTCCTGTTCCTTGTTGTACAATACCTTATTAGGTAATGGAAATAA